CTTCATGATAACCCTTCACACTCCACGCTGTTGTTATCACCCCCTTCAGCCTTGTGTTGGGAATGTTGACCAGTCTGTCATATTGTTACGTAGTCCTTCCTTGGGTCATATCAGAGTCTCTCTCTTGACCTTAGATTCCGTCTGCTATCTTCCTGGTACATGTATTTCATTCGACCCCTGTCCCCCATCTGTGCTACCTGAGGCGTAATTCGTTCATCCTCTGCACCTGGGTGAGTGATTAGAGTCTAAAGCCTCAGAGTAAGTCTTATGGTCATGCCTTTGCTACATTGTACCACGTCTCTTGCAAAACCTACTGTCAGCCAACTAGCTCCAATCGCCGCATCGTCTATCCTGTCTTTATCCCTAATACCAAGTATATGACTCGCCATGTCCTAGTCGCTTGTTTGCCAACCCACAAACGTTGTGGTTCAACATTGAATCTAATCAAAGCCAGTTTTACAAGAGACGTGGTCCATGTAGCAAATGCATGACCATGAGACTTACTCTGAGGCTTTAGCCTCTAATCAATCACCCAGGTGCAGGAAAGAGACGAATTACGCCTCGAGTAGCACAGATGGAGGGAGATATCTTGAAGATGGGCTAAATTTTTCACTAGGTAATGAAGAAAACATGCTTAGTGATATTCTGCTGGAAGTTGTCAAAATAACGGATACATTTCCAGAAGAGACAAGGCGGTACACAGAAGAAATGCATAATAATGGGGAAATTGACGGATGGATGATTAAATCTTTAATAAAAAATGACGCAAAATCACTGACAGCCTATTGACTACCGAAGATACACAAGGAAGGAAATCCTCTAAGACTAAAATTCAACAACAGGCATGAAGCAATGCACAAACTAGCGAAGTTAATTTGTTTGAAACTCAAGAAACTAAATGACAGACTCTTGAATACCGTCAAGAATTCATATGAATTTTCTCAAAGGATCCAGAACATTGGGTTGGTGAGTTTCGATGTAAAATCTATGTACACGAACATCTCAGGCAAAAAGGCGGTAAGCGCCTTCCTAGAGATATTGAAGCGAGAAGAGGACACCCTGGAGGCAGAACGGATACGCAAAGAATCGTTAACACGACTGATTAACCTGACAGTAAGGACCACATATTTTTCATTTAACGGCAATATCTACGAGCAAATATTTGGACTACCGATGGGATCTCCACTCTCACATATTTTGGCAAATGTGTACATGACAAGTTGGAAAGGGAATTCGTGAAGTCACCACTGCAACCAAGAGTGCTTATGCGATATTCGGATGACTAATTTGCACTTTGGTCACATGTTAAGAAAAATTTAAATGAGTTCCTCAATTTTATTAACCAACTTGATGAAAAAATTAAATTCACAATGGAGGTGGAGAAGGATGAACGACTACCCTTTCTGGATATTGAAGTCATGCGCTCTAAAGGGACACTTATGAAGAGACTATACATAAAGAATTCATATGCGGGAATAATCCTTAATTTTTAGTCTCATGATAACATCAGACTGAAGATCGGAATACTGAGAAGTTAGATCATCAGAAGCTTACGTCTAACGGATAATGAGTCCTGGAACGAGGAGTTGGATAAACTGACACGGATTTGCCTTAGTTACGGATTCCCCAGAGCATTTATTTAAAAAATGTAGAGATTATAAAGGGCCGATTTCAACTTGGATTTTATGAAAATTAGATCAGGAATCAGGATGATAACCAAAAGTGGATTTACCTGCCCTCATCACAACTGAGCCAACAATTGCGACCGTTACTAAGGAAATGGAACATTAGGGTGATAACAAAGGAGAATAAAACGCTCCACTTGATTGCTAGGGAGTTTATCGCATCAAATGCGGCAACTGTGAGCAGAAGTATATCGGTGAAACAGAAAGAGAAATCGGCGAGGAATATCAAAGACTCTGCAGGAACATAGATACGAAAAGATCCGAAATAGCGGAACACATTGCACAAACAGCGCACGAAATCGACAGAAAGGTTGGTTGCATGTGGTGAAGATATAAGAAAACGCAAGATCCGAGAAGCCATCGCAATACTGATCGAGAGAGATCTAATAAACAGGAGACTTGAAGAAAGCAGGATCAGCGAAAATTTTGCATATTGCCTAAACAAACTCAGAGAAGACCATGCGACAGCAGGATCAGTAAAAAGAAGACGACTGGATCAAGGTAATATCATTAATTTTAGGGAAAGAGATCGTAGTGGAATGAGAAAGCAACAATCGGAAGCAAAGAGGGGACGTCTTCAGTGAGCCTAATCAAAACAAGTAGAACCAC